TACTACTACTACTACTAGTGTTACTACTACGACGGTGCTAGTACTAGTACGAGTAGTACTAGGAATTAAATGTAATACTGTTACTCGTACCGCTGTTCGTGCTGCCATTAGGAGCAGGAGATAAACAATCTCGTCTTTTTCACGTGGCCGTTGCAGTACCGACTGCTCTGAGTTTAGCTGCCTACTAGCACCTGTCATGATGGCACTATTTGCACCGTGATTTTGGCTCTTATCCAGAATAAACGTGCTTGCATACCATGCTGGACGAACTACCGTTGTAAATCCAGTAAATATGTGTCATGTCAAAGAACTGCCCTGTCCATATCACAGACGATAACAAGAAAGCCGAGAAGGCTAAGGCTACGGACATGTCTCATTTCTTCAGACTGTCAAGTCATTTGGCTGAGAGCTGTCTTGTGATTTCGACGAGTGCACGAGTGCAGACACCAGTCTGGAGTTACGGGTGCCGAGTGTGGGCACACTCTGTTGTCGGGGCACACGGCTACGGATAGGTATCCTCCCTGTTACATGTCCTTGCTCACGGGATGCGGGGTGGCAGACTCTTTTCTCAGCAGGATAGTTTTCTTGTACAGTAGTGTCGGACTCGATCGCAAAGCTTTTGCAAAGGTTGCTGGACTGTCGGGTCGAGCTTATGTAATTGCTGTGTTTGCTTGGTGCTTCTGCACGGGGCACAGGTTAGCGGTCAACAGAGCTGCCATGCGTTTCAGCATGCAGGCCTACGCCGGGGGAACTTACGCGAGGAGCAACGTGACTCCACACACTTTGGACACTGTGAGTAGCAAACTGCCTTGTGCTGCCAGAGTGCCAATTCTTCTCCCTTGCTGCTTCTGCAGACTCTGGCGTCAGGCCACCTTCTCCGCCTGCCTGCGGTGCCTCCATCCAAGATACACGTGTCTGGTGGCGGGCAACTCAAGTTCAGCAAGCAAGTGTAAGCGAACAGTCGATATATGGCAAATACAGGCACGCAAGCAACAAGCTCACATTCCAAATCGTCATCTGATGCAAAGTGGCAGCTTGCAACGACAACAGAAAAGTTTGAACAAACAACCCTCAACCCATAACAACGAAACCTCGGAAAGTCCTATCAACCCACATGAGCATGGCAAAGGTCCACGAAACTCACTGCCGCGAAGCTCACAAACCCCGCTACTCAGCCCCAGGCAGTGGCTAAACTCTTCACATTGTTGTCTTCCTCTTCACCCTCTTCTTCGTCTTCCTCGACCTCCTCTTCCTGCAAGTGGTTGGTGTGAGCAGTCAAAAGGCACGCCATGGAATTGCCTATGCCCTCAAATTCTGATGCATTTCAAACGGCGGTAATAGTAGTAGCAGTAGTAGTCGTCGTAGTAGTCGTCGTCGCAGTGGTAGCAGCAACATACGTAATCGTAGTTGCACTACCAGTGGCAGCAACTGCACGACTACAATTTCGATGCAAGTTGCACCGATGATAAAGACAATTTTGTGTAGCGGTGTCTAGCGAATACCTACCGGATTTCCTTTGCCACATGTGCGCGCCACCTTGCCTGCGGGTCTTTCTCGTCATCCACCTGGCAATAGACCAGGCATGACCAGAGCAACTCGTACTAGTCCGAGTACTAGTACTTGAAAAGTCTTCGGCGCCGCTTCGGTTCTGCTGCTCAAAAGCACCCACGACAGGCGCCCTACATCTCGCTGTCAGAACCCCAATCTGAGGCTCCCTTGCGTTGCCACTGCAAAATGTAAGCACGCTAGGCACTGCACGTTTATGAAAGTTGCGACATGTCCCACACGCGGAAGTTTACATGGCGCTTATCAACCATGAGGCCCCGCCATCTTCTCCAGCAGAACTGCCACGACGACATTGATAAGAACCACTCCATTCACCTAGCAGCAGAAGCTTCGAAGGAGCAAAAGACGGGGCAGAGGAAACAACTTGTCAACGGCCACTTCGTTCAACGCAGGGCCGCGTCGGAAGAGCTGTGCAGCCCAATTCTGCAGCTTCAAATCAAAAACAGCTTCAACGACAGGATTATCAGCAATGGCCACAACAGTCCGAATGCTAAGAACCGCTTACAATCGAGGTTGGCTCTTGCTCCTGCGCGAGCGGAACCATGTCTATAAACAGCTGCGCGGGCACGACTTAATTCTAAGTCGTAGACGCCCAAAACCCCAAATGACACTGCAATTGTTGATTGTCGTGGTGGTCATGCCGCTGATAAGGGTAACAACAGACCCTATCATCATTGTTGAGTTCCACATCTTTGTCCTGGTACTGTCTGATGACCTTTCTTGTAATTAATATTTAAGATTGTGCCGCTGATGTCACCGACTAAGGCTGAGTTGTCACTGCAAGCTTGCCTGTTCCAGCGATGCTTACGAACATTCGGAAAATGCGTACAATTGAGTTTGGCTATCAGCAAACGCACCATATTGAATCTTGAACCCAACACTGGCAACTATGGCAGCGACAGTTCTGACCCGAGGGTGATAATAACAGTCGCAACTGCACGCTTCGTGGAGTGAGCTGCAAGTAGATATACAATGGCCGTATGCCATTGCACTGCCCGAACGAGACAGACTCAGACTGTACCAGAAAGAGCCAATGCCGATCTTCCTCCCAAGTTCAGGAAACATTGACCAGGTCGAGTCACGACAATGAAGGAGACGAAGAAGAAAGCGACGCCAAAGGCTTCAACGACATTGTTGCCTTTAGGGTCAGTCTGGGGTTTAGGTTTCCGAAGCTCTCTGTGGATCCATTCGTGTTTGGCGGTTTTCTGTCGACCGGGTTTGGGCACAGGGCTTGAAACTTCGGACGGCGTTTGGGGTTCAAAGTAGTATTCCGATTGTTCTGGGCAGTAAACTAAGAGGAGGTCCATCATTGAGCAGTTCTGCTGGCTTAGATTCCGATGGGGTTTAGGGTTTAGGGTTTAAACCAGTGGGCCTCAGTCCGGGGGATGCGGAGGACTTGTAATCTTTCGTACGCTGGGCCGGACACAGGTCGAGGTGGCCTAACCGCTGCATTCTGCCCCAGCTGGCTCCCGAAACACCGTACCAGCGTAAGGTTAACAAACACTCTTGACTCTACTCTCACTAAATGAGGAACACGGAATCCGGACCCCGAATCGGAAGCCTACCAGAAAGCACAAATTCCGCCGCAATACTCTGCAACACAAATTTGTCGGATTGGAGCTAGTCACAGACTGAAGTAGCGGTCATTGCAAAGCACCGGCTGCGAGAATTACTCACTGAATAACAAAACCCAAGGCGGTATCGGAAGGGCCCTTTATGAAGCCCTCTAAAGCCCGAGGGCCTACCTCAAAAACCTTCACCTACGCCTTCCTATTCCAGAAGTTTGTGTCCCTCCGCTTAAGCTCTACAACGACGACAAGGACGACAATTATCTCCAGTCACACTACTCTGAGAAATACTCGCGCTGCTGGCAGCTATTCTTGATACGACAACAACGACGGCGACTACGACGCTTCTACGACGACAGGGTCGACGATCAAGTCTACTACGAGCCAGACCACTACAGTACGACAGGCTGTGACGACGACGACCACCAAATTTGCAATAGCCCACCTTCTTAGCCCCACATCCCATATTGTCACATTCTTACACGCTGAACTCTCAACCAAACACTTAAGCTCCAGCTTCGTCAGGCAAAACTAAGAACATGAAGCCCATGGCGAACTTCATGCTGCCGAGGGGGCCGAGCAAAAGCGGCCGTGCAACAGCCTCGGCCCAGCTTTCGCCTGTGAGGACCTCTGGCACTCAGGGGTGTCGGATTTTTTAGTGCTTTCCGGCTAAGGTTTGGGGTCTAGGATCTAAGGTTTAGGCTTCGAGTGTTGAGGTTGAGAGTGCATGAGTTCGGGCTTGCAGCCTCCCCGTGACCTGACGTAAAGCTTTAGAGATGTTTAGAGGGGGCCGAGTCGAGGATTTGGCGGTGTCTGAGGCTGTAGAATTTCGGATTCCCTCAAAGGTTGTTGGGTGGAGTCGCGGCTTCAAAGTCTCTTTAGGGTTTTCGGGTTTAGGGTACGGGCTGCAGGGCTTCAGATTCAGTGTCAGTGCTTCAGGTTTCTTGGGCCTCAAGAAGCTTGGGCTTGGGAAAGACGGCTCCCTCATACGGTACACCTGCTTCGTTCCATCGTGCTGGCTTTTGATGTTGTGACATATCATGCCATCATCACTTACATGTATATTGAGCTTGTCATCATGACTAGTACTGGCTTTGTGCAACAGAGATTTCCCAACCCACACGCAAGGAAAAAATGGCCTGGAACATTGTGTAGAGCGACTTGCCGAAGTTGCCGAAGTACTCGTAGCCATACTCCTGCTGGCGGCCTCGGCGACAGCATCGGGTAGGATGGCGGTGCCTGGGAGCATCAAGTCCCCGACTGGTGATCAGGGCCACTTCGTTCCCCTTGATGTTGATGTATTTGCCACCCTTGCCATAATCCTTGAAGAGGTCCACGGCTATGATGGCCTGGGCCGGGCTGCAGCTGACCGGCAGCTCCTTCCTAAATCAGCCTAAATCTGCAGTGGGTGAAGCGTTCTCCACTGGGCTGGCCCAAGGCCAGGACGTATATGGACATCACCAGCAGCAAGATAAAGAAGGCGTTCGCTACGCCAGGAACTGCCTTCAAAAGCATTGCAAGAGCAGCTAATCCCACAGATCCTGGCTCTGATGACTCTCGTCCCTGTCTCAGCCGCGGCCTTGGCCAGCGAAGCCATAATCTTGTTGAGCGATTTGACCTTGCAACATGTTGAATCAGTGTGGCAGACAATGATGCGACTCAATGCAAGAGCACAACATTCAGAATGGCGACGAGGCGTCGTAACAGCAGCATCAATTAAGACTGTTGTCCGCAACCGTGGTAGTTCTGATACAAACACGAGTATGGGGCATGAAGCCGATGTTGGCCACACTAATGCCTATAAGGAACCCAGCCGTAAACCTAACCGTGATAGTACGAATTCCCAACAGTTTAACAGCTGTGCGGAATAGGGTCAACATAGGCAACATGAGAACTTGATACCCACCTCCGAGCTGACACTACATGGTTCAGGTATACGCCCCTCAGCAATCAGGCAGCAAAGCACACGTGATGCGCAATTGCACTCAGTGGGGCACTCCTTTGATGTGTAGCAGTGGGTGTTAGCAGTCCGATGTTCTTCTGAAAGATTCGTGCTTGTTGAATCGGAAAGACAGCCAGTAGCAAGTGCCGCTCCTCAGCTGAGTCGTCCATTACTGGCGTTTCAGTTCCCCATTACTGCGCTTGACATGCGCAGGATGACAAGGATGAGAAAGTAAGTTTACATGGGACAAGGGATCCGTCCCCTAGCAGCGAGTTCGGAGCTCTGGTGCCAATCTGCTTAACTTACCTGAACACAATAACCCTCAGCTGCACAAAATGCATTACTCTAGACGAAAGCCTACAAACTGCGTTATTCATGCATTCATGCACCTTCCCCATGCTCTCGGTCCCCGGGCCCGCTTGAACAGGCGGAATACTCGGAACCTGAGTTGGATGAGACTCAGACCAAAAACGATATTCTCATGGCCCTACTGAACGTTGGGGTTCTCATTTCTCACGTAGACCAAGCAGCAGCTAAGGCAGTTAAGGTTGCGTTAGGCTACACGTCTTCAGTTTGCACATGCCGGGTCGTAAGCATCATTCAGCAAGCTTGTGGCCGACCAGCAGCCACACTGTGCTGAAGCCCTTGAAATGCCCTGCACAAAACATGAGACTCCTTGCTGCAGCATAACCAGCCCTCCAGTTCCAGATCCTCGGACCCTTAGGTATACAAAAACACACACACACACACACTCTTACTTGGATTGACCCATGATATGATCGAAATCATCTATAGGGGTGAGCAAACTGGACTTACCTTGCAATTTCTTCATTTGTATCTCTGTATATCTTCGATCATATCAGTCTCTGCATGCAGCTCAAACAGGCTCTTTTGATTTTGAAACTTGATCATTGCTTAGGCCAGCACTTTAACAACAACTTTTAGGGTGTACTTTTGGGCGGCCTGTTTCAGCTGGTGCGTGGATTGAGCGTCCCCAATCCATATCACGACAAACTGGAAAGGGCTTTGTTGGGCAGTGCCTTCCAGAATGTCCACTGCCCCCCTTCATTTCTTGTCTCTCTTTATATATATATATATATATATATACACGCACCAGAATCACTGGAGTCACTGGAGCCCTCGAGAGTGAAACATCGCTTTTGGGGTTTGAGGCATTCTATCTTAAACACCCGCGCCTACTCCTGCTCGCTACTCCTACTCTTACTCCCACTCCCAATATCGCGACGATGCCCCCCGGCTACCACTACTCTTCCTCCTCCTGCTGCTGACGCTGATTATACTTTTCCTCCTACGACGACAGCTTCAGCGACTGCATATCACCCCTCGCCTGCCGGACTTTCGGCACGAGCTATCGATGCGGGATCTACAACTCTTCGAAGACAAGCAAACAAGCGGGCTCAGGGCTCGGCGCTCTCATCATGCGGAGCATACTCAGAGGCCCCGGAAGCTCGACCTGTGACCAGATTTGGCTTTTCGTCTGCGGATCCCGTCGTGAGATGCTCAGAAAGGCTGCAAGAAACATGAAGCCTAGGACCTATGACTCTATGACCATCAATTCAGAGAGCCTCCGCCTTTGTTGTGCGGAACGATCACCAACAAGACCAACGACAACGAAAACAGCAGTCACAAGGACATCACATGCAAATCAGTTGTCATGCTGGCGACTATGGCCAGGACAAAACTCGTGACATGAGTAGCAACGGATAGCTGCGGCTCTCCGAAGTCTCTCTCTACCACGTCCACCAGCCTTGAGCACAGAAAGAACTCCGATGGCCACCACGACGAAATCGAAAATGTTCCAGCCTGACGACAGGAAATCAAAAAAAGGGGCCCGAGAAAGCTGTGACTTACGCGTTCCGACCAGAGCTTTCTAGTCAGAGTCTGCACGAATTGCTCCAACATTCATGTTCGGCGACGGTCTGAGGAGATGGCCGGACTTCCAAAACGGACAACACCAAAACGCGTACATGTTCACGCAAAGCTCCATGAAGAACATCACGTTGAAGAACGTCTCGATGCCGTAGAATACATCAGGGTACCTCGCCAAGCAGATGGGCTGCCTCAAACCCCTAACGGCACAAAAATGGCCATGCGCCTTTCAACAGGCACAGCTGATACATTACGTACTTTCTCGTCCCTACATACAGTTTTCTCCCCCTGAAAGCCAAACACACCGCACTCAAAACACAGCCAAAGTGTGATAACCCAGTCCAGGTTCCGTGGAGTTCAAACCTTGCGCCTCTGCACCGGCCAGCAAAGGACTACTAAAATGAAGCACGAACTGCCGGCAGCGGTACTATCAAATACAGTGGTCGTTTTTACCATGGTGGTTCCCTGGTGGCTACACTTTGAAGTCTAAAAATGCTGTCCCAACGCCACTTTCCTGAACACAAAAGTAACACCCAGTCTTGATGGGTTAACGCTTTTCGCGTATTGGTCCCAGGGTTCAGAGCTTTGTGGCTGTGGGGCTGTAGTGTTTAGATCTCGGGCTGCCAGGATGTTGGGGCTAAGGATTCCAGCTAACTCTGCCCTACACCCGAGAGGCAAAGGCCCCGGCAATGTCCCAGCCGGATCGATCGACTTCTCAATGATGTTGGCCCTGCCACGAGAACTCTTGGTGTTAGGGGCAGACGGGGCTAGTTACATTCACTATGACTACTAATGTTGGTCACTACTATTTCCACTAGTACTTGGACTAGGACTACTACAACGACGACAACGACGTTGACGACGACTACGACGTCGACGTACTACTACGACTACAACTATGACTGGGACCGGGGGGGAAATCGATGACGACTACGACAACGACGAGGACGACGACGACGAATAGTACGACTACGACTACGACGATGACTACTACGACTACGACGACGACTACTACGACGACGACTTCTACGACGACGACTACGACTGCGACCACTACGACTACTACGACGACGACGAATTACTGCTACCGCAACCCCCTTTGCTACAGTCACCTTGGCTAGGCTCGTCACACTTCCGTGCTGATAGTGATTATGTGACAGCTGCTGGACTACAAGAGCCTGCAGTACTACAGTTTCCAGTGGCGCCAGGAGTACAAATGTCACTGTCTCTCAAGCAGTGAACGTGGTTTTGCTATAAAACTGACTCTGCGTGAGTACTCTTCACATCCAGGTCTCTTCTTGCTCCTCACTACCCGGTTAGAAACATTGAACGGCTGCAAATGCTCTGCTTCTGTCATGACCGTTGTCACTACTGCTACAACGACCGATGCTGCTTTTGAGAGTGCATGTCTCATCAGCCCCTGCTATACCTTCCTAGCTGTCCTGTTCCAACCACATTCCCCATCATCCGTGCTAGCACTATACCGCTATACAATGATAAACTACTCGGTGCGCTAAATACACAAGTGCCAGACCCCTTTCTCGTTGGAGCGCGTATAGGAGCACAATGATCGTCAACGGTCAGACTGCTCGCGGCCACAGTCCTAGAGCCTGTAAGACCCTAGAACATTGAAACCTCCAATCTCCAATCCTCCGACATCCGAGCTTGGTTCCTAGACGAACCATTTGGGTTTTCAGTGTGTTGCTTACGGCTTTGGCAACGTGGCATGACTGCTGCTATGAACCGCCAGGATAGATATAACTGCTCTTTGAGAACAGCGACTCACTTGCGAGTACGGCGCTTTCTGCTGCTACTGGGCTCAGGAATCCCTCTGCTTCCTTGGTCCCCAAAAAACCAATCCTAGCCAAAACCCCAGAGTATTGCAGGCCGGGCCCCGGGCACAAAATTCCCTGCAATGAGCGCGGCCACGAAAAGCTGCACTTTCATGTTAGTGTAGACCCTGGCATGACAGGGCAACTTGGGATTCTCGCATTTAGGCTTTAGGTTCGGTTCGGGGATATGCAGTGGCACATGCAGTCTTAGAGGGGAAAGATTGAAGGTCGTATCCCATCTCAGGCCCTACATGTGAATGTTAAGCTTTCCTGTGGAGTTCGCCGCCACCACGAATCAAGATGCGCCTTTGACTTGAAGAAGGGGGTCCGGTCCATTCTTTCAACCCAGTGCCTTTCTAGCGCCAAGTCGCGCACAAAATGTCACCCTGTCTGCCTGCCTGAGCATCGCCTTTGGAACTTTCTGACACCAGCTCGAATTGGGAAATGGACCCCTTCCTGACCGCCCGGAGACCCCGAACCCCCGATGTGCCAGGAGCCTTTCGGCCGCAGGCTGGAACTTCCAGATTCCTCCCTGCAGGCGTGCGGAAGGTCCAAAGCAATGGTCTACACTACTAAGTCCTCAAAGCGCCTAGAGTTTGGATCTCAAGACCACTGAGTGGCTCCGATTGGCGAATCAGAGTGGCGGCTTGTCTATCTGCAGGGTGCGCATTCAGTTCTTCGACAACTTAGAAAATGCAGTCTAGTGTAACGATTGGCACCGCGATTCGGGTATGCTTGCTTCGGAAGCTGCTCGGCGCCGGAAACACGACTGAACAAGGTCGGAATTGCCTGCACTGTCAGCAATTTGCTGTGAAGGGATGATGGCAATGTCAACGACTAGCTCCACATCGGAAAGTTCGCAATCTAGACATCGTTTTCTTCGATGTACTCTCGACACGTCACATGTTCAACCATCCTTGAGTACACCGAAATAGTTACACATGCCGTGCTTCTATGCGTGTCTGCGCGCATCTGTGTGTGGGTGTGTGCGTATGTATATATACATATATATATACATACATATATGCTTCGGGTCCCTCCTGCCTCTCAATCAGGACTATGTAGATTTGCGGGTGTTGGTCTAGATCGTGTGCATGTTGCTGTTTGCAAGCTTAGCTGTGTTGACGCTCTGTTTGGCAGCGTGTCTCCGTCTCTGTGTGCATGCCTTGGTGTTCCTGCTGTCTGCGTAAGTTTGCCCGCATCTCGTGCGCGCATGCGTATGGGCGCCGGCGCATGTGTAGGACGGATGGAGGAGTTGCGGGTGGCCTGGTGGCAATCATGCAGATTTAGCAAACCAAGCATTAACCCATTAGTCTTCTGCAATCCACCATACCCCACAGCTTTTTTCTGAGGCGCGAGCTGGCGGAGGCCGTTGAACTACTTCCTTCGTCTTTTTGGCACTCTTACCTCAGAGGCATATGAGGGGTTGATGAACTGCAGATGCACGGACTACGTTGCTAGGAGTCCTTCAGTCTCTGATCACGAGGGTTTAAGATACGGATATGTTGAGTCCGACTAGGGAAACTGGAATTGCCAGCTCTTTGCGGATCAGTACACCGCAGTATTCGACTCTGTCTGGGCAATCTGCCGGCAAACCTATCCGGAGACCCGCAACCCAACTAGCCCACATCTCTGTGCTAGCTGCCTCGAACTGACACAAATAGCAGGAAGATTACCCTGACGCGTTTTCTCACTCTGTGTCTCACTGTATCTCTCCTTCTCGCTCTATCTTTCCCAAAAGGCCAAAATCTTCTAAACACCGAAAGACCACAAGCTTCCTACGATATCAAACCCGCGACAAATCTTCAAAACAGACTAAAACCTCCAAGGATCCTTCAGCAAGACCCGTGCAAGCATCATATGAAACAAAAGACTGCATACACTATATCACGAAATGGTATGTTGTAATGCTTATCAATATGAAAAACTGTAGCTGTTTGTGATAGTTTTGACACAACAGGCACTCCAGCCGAGCACCAAGCCCGACTTGGTGCTTGTCGACTTCCCGACTTTGTCGAGGTCGCCTGCTGTGCTTTCGGGGCAATGTGGGGGTTTCCGAAAATAGAGGACCCTAATAAAGGGCCCTACTAAATGGTAGGATCCTTAGTATAAGGACCCCAAAATAATAAGGTACCCTTAATTTTCGGAAAGTCCCATGTAGAAGGGGTAGCATGGGTAAGCGTCGTACAGGCGGCTTCAATCTTTTGGCCGGATGTCAAAAGTTCAGAGTTTAGGGCTTGGGGCTCACGGTTATAAGAGAGACGGTGGCAAGAGGAAGAGCTAGGACTAATGCAAGTAGCAGCGGCATTGACATATAAAGCAGTGGCAATGGTACCGAACATGCACATGATTTCAATCCTACAAGACTACCAACACGATACATACTCAGGATAATCGAGGTCACACGAACTTCTGGGATACGCAGCCCTGCTTACACGACGATCCTGCACACCAAATTCAAAACATGCCGAGACCGAAAGAAGGAGCGCGAAGCAGGTTCTAAAGTCCAGTCCCTGTTCGGGTCATAATTCCAGAAAGCTGCTGCTAACAAGAGCACTGATAAAGGGGCCCGAACTGAATGGCCGCAAGCCACTGGCAAAGCCGAAGCCTTCAACGGTGTTCTTCATCCCAACAATCCCGTCTGTCGCGGGTTAGGCTGTTAAGGTATTTAAACTTAAGCCATAAACTTATAAAAGCCGCACCTACAAGTCGTGGAAAAAAGTCGAGTGTCTGATACAACTCCACCCTAAGCCCTAGACCCCAACGCCGAAGACCCCGGCAAGCCTAAGCTGGGTGGAAGCTGCGGCTTTTTCTCTGCCTCGGTACTGGGCTCAATTCTTGTTAGGGTGTTGGGCTTAGGGTTTTGGGTTTAGTGCTGAGGGTTTAGGGATTAGGATTTAGGGTTTAGGGCTTAGGGTAAAGGGTTTAGGGCCTAGGGTTTCGGCTTTAGGGTTTAGGATATCGTCATTTTAGCTGCTGATGGTGCTTGAGTTGTTCATGTTTTTCAACACGGTCATTCCCAATAATTGCTTTCAATGTTGCAGCTTCCTATGTCTTGCACGAAGGATACTCCTTATCCACATTACTCGTACAAGTCATACTGCTTCTACTTTTCATACAGGGTTGCGGCCTCGCGCTTCGGTTTCTGCAGGGCCTGGACTCTGACAGGTTGGCGCCCGGAACTCGGCTTGCGCTTTAGCGCTCAATCTGAAAACATCGGATGTTTAGGTTTTTGGGGTTTAGGGGTTTAGGGTTTAGGGAGACCTGGTTTCTTCGAGATACCACATGCCGAAACCAAGGCAGCGGAACAACGAAGCGTCAACTTGGCAGCCTAACCGCCAAAGCGAAACCTCCCCCGAAAAGCAAGATGCAAACCGGAAGTCAAGCAAGAACCACTACATCGTAGTCTCCAAACCCTACATTAAAACCCTAAACCTTGAAACTTAAACCAAGCAATGATGTGAACAACAATACCGACCCTTAGTCGAGTACCTCCAAGCTCTAGACAGCAAGCACCGAAGCCTTACTACTTCCGTCGGCCCTACAGGCAAGAAGCCTGAATTCAGCAAGTGCAAGTTTTAAATTGGGTAAGTTGAGGTTGTCGAGATTTGCGCAATCTTCGACGGCTAGAAATGATCATGTCGGCAAGGCTGCCACGGATTACCCTGACGGTAGGGCCCGCTACAGGGAAAGCGGTGTTGTCTACGAAACTGATCATTCAAGTCCTGCTGGCTTTCTAAATTTCATCACCAAAGGCCATCAGTGAAATCGTCCTAATGTTCTTGAGTACGATTGTTGGCAGGGGAAGAGGTGCTGCTGCCAAGCAGAGATTGCCAATTCCAAGCATGGGAGTAGCGCTTTGGAAACTTGCCTTCGTGTCAGTTGCGCTGAGCTTTCGATCCTAGACGTCATGATGTGGCTTCGTCATGGGAAGCACGAAGTTGAAAGAGTTCTCAGGCCCCCGACATCGATGGATTCACGGGGTGTCCCTAGAGGAGCACCGTCTTGAACCACCTGAGCACGCCGTGGATGTTCGGATGCTTCTGGATGTGGACATTCTGCCAATCATGTAGGACCGCTCGGATGCAGGTTTGCTACCTCCCCTTTGGCCGGACAGGTACGGAGGATGACAGGACATTTCTGGCTTGGAGTTCTAGCAGGTTGAAGTTTCAGCGCCGGTATGCTCAAGCTCAAAGACAACATGCACATCGTGTTAGCCGGCCCGCCGACAGATCCTATCACGCACACTCCTGCTGTTGCTGCTGCTGCTGCTGCCACCTTCTTCCGCTACTCGCTTCACTATGCTTATGCAATGCAAACCCAAATGAGGCTCGCGCATCTTTGCCATCCTGAGCGAATCGTTGTGCCAACGTAATTCATGTCAAGTGTACCGGCTGAGAATAACAACCAAACATAGCTGCAGTGGTCGCAGGGTTCAGAGTAGCTCCAAGAACAGTGAGGCGCTACCAAAAACCACCAGAAGTACAGCTATACCTGCACACAGACTTACACGTGGACATGAACATCCGTGTCAAACAATGAAAAGTGCAAAACACATCCGTATATACAGCGAAAAACACAAAAGACGTAAACAAAAAAATGCGTAAACATGTCGCTGCAGTTACAACTACGACCGCAGTTGCGAATAGTTCAGTGCTGGCCGCCCGGTTTAGACCACTTGCATTGCATGTACTGCCCTGATTCTTGAAAACTTCACAGCACCACGTTAACACGGCAACGGTTTGTGCTTGCTGCTGTTAACACCTAGTACCAGGACTACGACAAATACCACGAATGCCACTGTCAGTGCAACTCGTGATGAGATCGTGGTGGCATTGCAGCTTTGTGCTCTGGTGCTCGTACTTGCACTGGCGGCATTGCTACGGTGATTAACCGACTGGTTTCTTTAGTGTGGCTACTATTGCTACTCGACAATGATTGTTGTCAACAACTGGACCACAACCCCCACACACAGACACTGAACCCGGCCCCAGCAATCTTTAAAGGAGGAATACCCTTCTGTTCCTGCATGTGTCAGGAATACCCTTTGGTGCCTGCATGTGTCATGTAGAGCAGTCTCCAAGCATGATGATGGGGTTAGTTTGTGTTTCTTGGGACAGCGTGCTCGCTAACCCATCGCCAACCTAAAGGCCTCCGAGACTGTTCACAATGTTACAAGATGCAAGCTGCCGCAAACCCGAATTACATCCGAAACCTTCCTTCCAAAACAACGAACCACCTGCTGCCTTCTTGAGCTGACCCTTTGTTGCGACGTGGTGGACCTGGCAGTAGCGCAAGCGGGTAGGTAGGTTCAAACAGTCCAACCGGCAGGTTACGCAAGGAACCATAGATCGCAGCGTGTCTGCAGTCTGCAAGTGGAGATGGGTTCCGCTAACCCAGTTGCAAGCAACTACGGGGCAAAAAATGTTAGAGAGGGTTTGTAGTGTGCATCCCTCAAACATCCATGACACCTGTGAAAGAGGCATGAGCTATGGCACCCTCACGGCGGACTCAGGGCTCGGGCTGGGGGAACCTTCATCGTCCTGTCCGTGTGTTTTGACTCAGCCCCAGGCGGCAGCAGTTGCTGGGGGCATGCCGCGCGGATGCAGCGGGGGGCGTGGGTTGTGCACTATGCTTCAGGCAAGGGGGAACTTGTCGGGGGTTGGGGCTTGGCTTAAGGGCTGGGGGTTGCTGGGAGAATTACCTTGTGTATATGTTTGCGTGCTCAAGCTGGTAAGAAAAATCATGTCTGACTGGTGTCGGCAAGGGCATGAGCTGTGTGTCTGCCACATTCTGTGAGGGCGAGTCTCGGTGGGCCCTGCCAGCCGTCCATCAAAAAGCTGAGCCAAATTGCAAGTGATCAGAAATCAAGTGGGTCGGGGGGACTGATGGCTCGAAGACGCAGCTGCGCTCATAATTATTGCAATAGGATCGAGTTGAACGGAATGCAACTCTTCCCAAACGAGTTTCAATGCCATGTGCGCAGCTCTACCGCGGAACCACCTTTGGCAGAGGACATCATGGTCCGTTTTTGTGCGGATGCGAGTCCCACACTCTGTCTGGAACACCACCAACTTGTGGAGCGAGTGCCGGTTTATTGGCACGACCAACCAGGACAAGCAACCATGGAATCGTATCTGTTTGCCGTGCTTGACCTATACACAGTCCTGACTCGTGAACTCTATCTCGTGGCTCCTGCAAAACGTAATGATGTGTTGAGATCGGGCCAACAGCTCACCTCGCTCATGGTGATGTCCATCAAATGTTGCCTTGGTGAAAAAGTCTGGGGCTCAAGCGGCATAAGGCTTAAGGGCTTCCCGACCCTGCAATTCCCACGTCATTGCAAGCGATGCTTTAATTACACGCAAACAACAGAAAACAAAACCGTGGCACAACCAGTCTATATTTTCACCATGGGGACAAGCTGCACGTCTTGAAAATGTTGAACCCACCTCGGCATGCAGCAAGAGTGCCTAAACCACAGTCTTTGCAAGAATCACGTCGGGTTCCAGCGAAATCTCGTTTGCTGCTGTCGGGCCACTGGCAGCCGTGACAATGCATACGCTTGGAAGTTGAGGGTGCCACCTGGGAAAATGGCGAGTGCCGCCGACTCACAAGCAAGCTGCGAGCATTCCCCGACATTTTTCTGCCCGCTCTGCCCCCCCCCCCCNNCCCCCCCCCCCCCCCCTCCGCCCAAATTCAGCCAACCCGACCATCCCACGCGAGGATCCGGCCGCAACTCCTTCGGCTCTTTCTGTCCCTGCAGACTCACATCTGCAAGTAAGGCTGGGGTGCAGGGTCCCGAACAGCGAGTCGGTCCGTCGGATCTAAACCCGCCTGATGCAAGAACAGCAGCTGCGGCGGGAAATGGTCTGCACCAGGGGGCATATCACGACCTCAGAACGCGACGGTGAGCGAAAGCCACCATCCTCAGGGCGTCCACACGCACGCCCTTGGAATGGAAGTCAAGGAATGCCATCGCTGCGGCGCCGGCCGGGTGCATCATCCTGGCATCTGTACGAACGTCGTCCCCTAACCCTTCTGAAGAATCCTGAGGCATGATCCCCAAGCAGGCAGTCCAAGGAGGTTGTCCCTCGAGCCCAAACGGGGAATGCCACCACTACGCTTCCGTGAGACCCGTAAACCTGAACCCCAGATGTTAAACAGACCTTCCCACAAGGCCGGCCAAGACAAAGCTTTGGCTTTCACTCAAGTGCAGTTAGCTCTAGCCAAGTCTTGGGCACCCGGCTTTCAAACTGCAGCATGCTAGCTTGTGCGGCGGTCAAAGGCCAGCTCCATCATGAGAGAAAGTCAGGTTGAAGCAGGTCGGCAGACAGATCGAAACCTATTGCTAGATTGGAATAGGTTAAAGTTATAGTAAATTATGGTATAGACTTCTACTGTCAGGTCTCATCAAACTAGAGTTTCACGGTATTTTCATGTCGTGGCCGTGCTTCGAACTGCTGCACCCGGCGGTGTGAGACTTAGGCCATGCTAGAAAGGAAGACACGGGGACAGCCTTGGATAAGGCAACTCCCTTCTGACCCAGTCAACTGTCAGGAGCTCTGGTAAACTCATCTGCCCATTCTGGCTTGTTGTCTTGCAAGCTCCGTCATCTCCTGTTGCATGAGATCCTTCACCATGTCTAGTGTGTAGGGATACCTCGGAGTCAAGCTGAAACTGCTCAAAAGAGCCTGACGTTTCGACACGTGCTCGACAAAAGCAGTTCAGGGTTTAAGGGCTTAGGGTCTTCGGGTTCGGGCTTTGTTGGGGCTGAATGGAGTGCAAGATGCTCTGGGGCACCTGTGTACCCGAGGTCTTCGATCGTCGTTTTCCACTCGTTCCATTCTCGCTTACCTGCACATTTGACATGCATGTTCGCAAGTAGCAGTATACGGAGCACCAGGTGTCGAAGACAACGATCCGATCATCGAAACGCCTGTCACACTTGTGTGTGGCCCCTCCTAGCCAGCAGCGGCTCAGCACAAGTCCTGTACTCCACGAGCAGACCACGCCCCTTTAATATGTTTATGGAAACCCTTCCTCAAATCAAGTGCACTTTTGCTGAACGACCGTACCGAGATGCAGCATTCCAGAAACTTCTCCGGCGGATGGATCTCAAGCTGCCGCTGCCTTTTCAGTGGGCCTGTCACCATCGAGCGCTCTGCAATGCCTGCAATACAGCCAGGATTTAGGATAATGTTGGCAGGAGGATCCTACCTTGACAGCTTCACTGCGTGCATCGTAGCTACGAGACCGCTGTGCATAAACGAGGGATTTGTGAACCTCACTACAACACAGAAGCAAGAATCCAGCATGGCGCTTCACTCACGTGCGGTTCAGCGCATGAACTGTCAGAACCACGTCGCCGATGATGCTGCTGCTGCTACTAAGACCACCACCACCATGTCTAGGACGACGACGACGGCGACTACGACCACTACTTCTCCTACGGCTACCACTATCAAAACTGCCGCTAGCATCACCAACACGATCACTACCATTACTACTACTGCTGCAGCTGCTGCTACTACTACTACTACTACTACTCCTCCTACTCGTCCTGCTCCTCCTACTACACCTGCTGCTCGTACCCCTACTCCTCCTTCTCCTCTTTCTCCTCCTCCTACTACTACTACTACCACTACTACTACTCCTCCTCCCCCTCCTACTCCTACTCCTGCTCCTGCTCCCACTCCTACTCCTACTGATACTGCTACTATAACTTCTCCCGCTACTACAAAGTACTACTGACATCTACAACGTCTACGCTGCTGCTGCTGTCAATACTGTGCTGCTTGTTTCGTCGAATCAGTACGAGCTATTGTCCAGAGGAAACTTCCAGCACGCAGAACCGTAGAAAGGCCGAACAAATCGTAAACTCATTCTGACATCATGCTGGACCCTACGAAACACACATCACCAACACCATAAGCCGCCCCGAAGGCTCCGCCCATTTTTGGTAGGGGCAAGAACCCCTGAATCCCAAACACCCTTCATTGAAGCCAGGAAGAGGACTCTGACCCTTAAATCCTCAACCCTTCACCACCATCCTGTTGCTCAAAAGGCGTTGCCCCTCGCATGCGCCTCGGACCATGGCGCCTAAGGTCAAGCCAACCAGGGACCCATGAAGCGCCTGCAACACAGCGTTTGCACCAGGGTTCGGATTCTACAGGGGTTCCATAAGGGCTTTGTGGAGTTGCTGTAATTCAGGATGTAGGGGCTTTAGAGGCTTCATTGAAGTGGTAGCTTCGTTCTGACGCTCAGCTCAAACACACAATGACATAATGTGTGACATGACTCTGCCTTTGCGTATCTGCAAAGTCGAGCCCAGTCCCCACATCCTTGATCCCGGGACCCTGAAAGTTCATGAGACTAGTTCAGGCTGCAAGCTATACACAAGGCAGTCAGAGACAGATATCGAAGCTCAAGTTGGCTGACCTCCGACCTCTGCACGAAATCCTACGTAACTGACAGGGCTCAAGCAGGGCGCTTGGCGCCTCCACCACGTAGGCCGGGCGGCTAATTTCCTCATCCGCCTCCAACAAGCGACAAGGTGGTGCCTATTTCTGTCTACGTGCCTGTCCACATGCGCAGCCACACACGCATGCGGATGTATGTATGTATGTACGTATGTATGTATGTATGTATGTATGTATGTATGTACGTATGTATGTATGTATGTATGTATGTACATAGGTACCT